CTGCTTATTTCTGATACACGGATACTTTTATGCCTGTAAATAAACAGGACAGTTTTATCAAAGGTTGCCACTGGCAACGAGGTAGAAGTGGGATGTAATACATTTAACACTTGACGGACGTCATTTGGCAAACTACCGCCTTTTACGTCACGTCATTCAGCAGACGACTGTCGTCGAGACATGTCAAACTTTATGCTTTTGCTTCTTTGTATTAAGTATTGTTTTTCTAATCTATTGTTGTGGTAAATAGGACATATGCCCTAACTTTGTAGTCAATACAACTCAATTCTTTCAAACGCTTATAGTGTTTCTCACTATAACATAGACCATAGACCTATAGTTGTAGGCTACCTGCCCCCCTTTTTTTTTTTACATTTCACCGATATGGTTACTTGTACGGTACATGTATAGGTAATTTTTTCCTTCAGTATGCTTACATTTATATTTCATGTGGCATATAGTAGATAATGACTAGTACTAGTATTATGCAATGTTTTAGGGATAGGCCTATATTTCTCATTGTTAGTTTTCATTTTTGAGTGAAGTCTGTATCACTACAGACCCGGGACTATACAGCGCAGTGGACACTTACGGCTAGGTACGGGTTCATTCACTTAATCTGATATGTACGTTTATTTATGTTTTCTGCGTATTGTGTCTTGTCCGTAGATTTGTTTTGTGTAATTGTGTGTGGTGCCGCCCACTTGCACTTGAAGTAATAGAATGGGCTGATCTGAAATTCATGCTACCCAGGATTGAACCCAATATTGAGAATTTGCTACAGTAGCACCAAGCACACCAAGAGGTGAGATTAATAAAGTTTCTAATGTGATTAGATTACACACAATCTTGATATTCATCATTTCAAGCGACGTTCCAGTTGTAGGCTATAAATTTCTTTAGAATTACGATGCATACATAAGTAAAGACCAGTACACCTCACTTAACATTACTTACATTAATTAACAATGAAATCCACAGATGAGAGAAAGAGGGGGGGGGGGTAACGTCCACTCGACACAAACTAGGTCATTTCGGGACTAACATAGGATTCAATTTTATTTCAGTAATTCGCTTGCGCGTAGGGGTCTTTGACAGTGAGAGGAAATCGGAGAAAACCTACGAAGTTGTACAGACACCCTCCTTCTTGTCGAAACCACCCCATTTGACGCAATGACAGACCTTGTGATCCAACGCGCATGGGTTAACCAGCCTCCCCCCCCCCCGATAAATGAGTGGTAGTTTGACGTCATAAAGATATAATCACGACTTTGTATCTCTTATCAACTACCTGATTATCAACTATCTTCCATCAAGTTTAATTAAGTTTCCCAAAACGCAATTTAAAATTGAAAGGTAAACCTATATATAGCCTAAAGACTGGTTCTTGTTTCAAAATTTCAACTTATTATATCAAATGCGATCAAAATGTAGATTTTAAGAAAACAAAATAGTTAATGGGCACGTTAAGACGGACATTAAAAGTCTACTTGGCAGACTTAATAGGAGCCCGTTCTGTAAATAACTCTTCATTAACACCAGGAATTTGACATAGGATTTTATATTCACTGACTACTTCAGTTATTGATTCTATGTTTTATACTAAATACTGAAGATTGTAGCTAACAGACATACATTGTTAAAACAAATTCTTTTTCGTTTATTGTCGTTAATTAATATACATTAGATTTTCGGCCTTATGTCATTTGGTCAAAACTTTGGCTTTTGTGGTTCCAATCACTGCGGTATTGTAGATCTGGGCGTGTGGTCTTAGAATGTTGTGGTCAGAACTCTGTTTTGTGCTTCCAACACTCCGGTTTTGTGGTGCGGACATTGTACTGTGCCACGGAAACTGCGATATTGCTATTTGGAAACTGAGGGTTTGGAGACCGTGATATTGTGGTGTAGGCACCGTTGTCTCGAGGTTCGATAATTGGGGTATTTCCATCAAAAGAAGGGCCTTGCTGTGAATATTACACTGTTCCACTGTTGTGCTTTTGGGGTGAGCGCAACCAAATATTGTGATTGGCACCAAAATACCTTTGAGGTAAACACATATAATATATGATCATTGCACAAGGAATATTCCATGTTCATGGTTCCAAACATTGCTGAGTCTTTGTGGTCCGTAGTTGTATACCGAAATACACAGAAATTGCGGAGGAAAGTTAAAAACAGCCGAAATATCAATTTGAGCGTTATCAAGATAAAATTCTGTACGAGATGTTTGTGAAGGGATACTGATGGATAATCTTGGTATATGGTTCTATATATTATCATATTGTAGGGTGCAAGACTTTAAAGCTAACATCATTTATCTTATTTTATGATGTAGACACCTTTGACCATATGTTAGTCAACATGACCTTCAAGACCATGTTTCCATAAATCAGATTAAACCACACTGATCATGTCAACATGTTCACCAAATCAATTATTAATCGATTATCGATGATAATAATATTTTTGCTACAAAAGCAGACCGTTAATGGCCGTCGAATATATCATCAATACCGCAAAGTACCCTAGCAAATACTTTCACGTCCTAGAACAAATGAAGAAGCTCTTTACGCTAAAAAGGGACCAAATTAATCTTCGCTTTCGTTCAGATTCTTGGTCAGTTTTTAATGACTAGCCTGGATATCGTTTTCATTAATGTCGTCAAATTATTGTCCTTGGCACTTTAGGATTTCCGGGTAATTAATGGAAATCTAAGACCTTAGGCTACTTGGTAGTTAAGCTCCCACGATTGCGGATCATATTCCATGCTTATTCCAATTTTGTATTGGGTGGAACCTCTACTGCACATGAAGATATCTGATTACATGTTGATCTTTGTGGTATTTATTTATCCATCCGCAGTCAGTATAGTCTTTTTCAAATATATTTTCATGATATTTCCAGAAATAATGGGGTAACGATGCGCGTGTTCGCATAAAATAGTTTCAGAGTTAGTAACCCCTTGTTGATAAAAGCATAGTGCACTACATGTACCCGCTCTATTGAGGTCTTGTATACCAGAACCAAACACAGTCAGTCATACATTTTGTACAAATCCAGAGTCCGACATTTTACCCACCCGCATGGGTAGGCGAAATTTACCCTGGGCCGAGAATATAGCTAATATAGGAATTTATAGAGAAATCTGTATTCAATATAACATGGAAACCAATTATGACGGATAAATCTTTTGAGAAAGATATTTCACAAATACCGTCTAGAAGTGGGTTGTTATTTTTTAGCTGGTGTAAAAGTCCTAATCCTCGAAATTGATTTCCAGCAAAACATGGATTCAGTTATCCTGTTACGATAAGATCACACGTGACATTCATAAGATATCATTACTCACCAATTACACGGGGAGTAGAATTTATTACGGAGTAATGACGATCGCGTTCATCAGGTCATAAAATATTTTTATTTTCTCCTACAATCTCGCTTAAAGTGTGATGAAGCTATTGGTAACTAAATTCACTGTTCTATGATTACCTTATACGACTGACTTACATTACGAATGCTTAGCCGAATTTTTGTGCTGGGTGGTGGCGATAAAATTTTTTCGCCCTTTAGACCATGCTCTCAACGGTCGCATACTTGTTGTCAATTTGTAGAACAAACATGGCGATTGTACGGCTAACAAAAACAGAAGCAGGCCACACCCACATCTAGTATATGCCTTGTCAACCACACTGTCCACACCCGGCTAGCAATAGTTCAACTACCAATGACCTCCTGACTGGCGTGTTTTCACTATCAGTTTACTGAAAATATTATTGCTACACAAGTATTATGTCTGACAAGGTACATAATATTTTACTAATTTGACGAAATAAGTCAACCACAATGTACTTTTTCTCTAAAAAATAAGAGAAAACTGCCTTACCCCAAACAATAACAAATCTACGAACACCAACCAATTCTATGTTGTTGACATAACATCAAGGACATAACTACTTGTGTAGTGTATATTTTGAAGTGAAAACATACTTGTTTGATGGAGAGAATAACAGTTTTATTGGAATGATAATACTAGACTTTATACTACTAGAAATTATTTGGTGTTTCTATGCTGTTGCGCAAAACATTTCACGAAATAAGAAAAAAAAATGGTTGGTGTTGGTAGATTAGTTATTGTTTGGGGAAGGCAGTTTTTCTCATATTTTTAGAGCAAAAGTATACCGTGGATTACCTATTTCGTCAAATTAGTAAAATAGTATGTACCTTGTCAGACATAATAATTGTGTAGCAATAATATATTCAGCAAACTAATAGTGAAAACACGCCAGTAAGGAGGTCATTGGTAGTTGAACTATTGCTAGCCGGGTGTGGACAGTGCGGTTGACAAGGCATATACTAGATGTGGGCGTGGCCTGTCTCTGTTTAGTATGGCGATTGTTGAGAGCGTTAACTTTTTTTTACCTAATTATTTCTGTAGTTTTGTAATCGGAGTTCAGCTTTAACAGCCCAAAGAAATATCCAAAGGCAAACGAAGCTACACTGTCACCTGCACCTGACGATGTTCTGCCATGTAATTTTCGTGCTTTAGGTGGTGGCGGGAATACGTCAACAATACAAAACTTTTGAAACAGAAATCGAAAGTGGTCGATGATCACAATGATAGCCCAGTTTCCCAATACAATCTTCTGAGATTCACAAGGTTACAAAATATTTTTTTCAAAGCACGGATTTCAAATTTTCAAAGCACGAATTTGAGATTTTCTGTCTGTAGGCACGTCAAAATAGACCCTGTGTCTGGTGCTAGTGTCTTATTTAAGAACACTCGAAATTATCGCTGAATCTGAGATATTTGAAAAATTCCCATATACTATTGTATCCACGAAGCTTTAAAGAATAACCACGTTAGACCCTTCCAGTCATTCCAGTGTACAACAATGGCTACCTTATCTACTAGTGAATGTAAAGACAGCAAAGGAGAAGGTGGGGGAGGGTGTGTGTGATAGAATGATGATGATCTTAATAAGACAAACCATAATAATTACCTGCGATTGCCAGGTGCATAATGAAAAAGTTCATCCTCGACCTCCGTCGTTCACGTGATAAGGCGATGGCGGCAAGGACGATGGAGTTACCAATGACAATAAAAAGGAATAATACAACCAAGAATCCAATTTGTTCATCCTGAAACGATATAAAATATAAATTATTACACCACAGTCTCTATACATTGTGACATTTTGATAAATGCCTCTCAGCTGATATATTGTCACATGTCTGACAAATAATATGTGAAAATCTTATGAAATTGAGAAATTAATTTTCTATGCTCATTATCGAACTTACCCAATAAACATCTGAAAATAGAATGTTTATCGTCAACCTTGCTCAAGGCATTGATGTAATGAAACAGTACACCAAATTTCATAACTTTCACCCAAATAGAATCGAAACTATAGAGCTCAAAAGTCTCGACCAGTCGACTTGGTGATCACTATGTAGAACCCCGGCAAGAAACTGTTCATTTTCGAATTTAATCCAGGTATTAATGTAATGAAACTATAAACCAAGTTGCATCACGCTCACGTAAGTAAAATCGTGCCCCAAAGTACAAAGCCTATACAGTTAATTCTCCTCATCGATCTCAGTCAACGCATTCTCCTAATCAATAGAACAATTAGAAGAAGAGTTATTGTGTCCCAAAAAGTGTTACAGACAGACAAACAAACAGACAGACAGACAAACAAACAGACAGCCAGGCATAGAGGCAGACAGACAGACGAACTCATTATTAAAGTCTCTAACGTGCTAATTAGATTTCGTAACAATGGGAAATAATTGTAAAATTTGAAAATCAATAGTATTATTCCTTCCATTAGAACAGCCAACCAATATACAGGGTATATTTTTTTATTAGAAAAAATTTCAACCTATAAAGTGCTAAAAAGAGTTTGCAATAAAGGTTGAAAATCAATATGTTTTTATTCATGTCCGATAGATAATCAATAATAACAAAAATGTAGAACTGACGGACAGACAGACAACTGTGGTGGCAATAAACGACCACATTAAAATATGATTGTGTATTGCTCCATAGGCTACCTCTGCTGCCGTCTTACATTTGAAAGAAGAGAGGAAAGAGGATGTGTTGTTAGTCAAAATAAAAACAAACCTCCAAATAGTTAGATATTTCACATAAAAATACCTGTATGTTTTGTAATAATACGTTAAAGACTTTGAGATAAAAGATTAAACGATTCCATGAAGCATGGTGCATTCACTTCTTATATTCCACACAAGTAAATAATAAGAAAGCATTATGTTGAACTGTATATATTTTCATGTAGATATTATTTATTATTACTGGTGTATTATAATAATAATGACGTCTGGTATAAGGTGACAACAGATCCATTAGATGAACTCAAAATAGATAATATTGTAACAAAGCATTTAAAATATTAAAGGTGCATTACAGCAAAATCTGCCTATTTCAATTCCTTTTCTGGTCTCAAATGTTATATTAGTTATTATTTAGACATTTTGTTGACATGACAAGCCCATAATAAACTCGAGGCAGGAAATCGAGACTTCTTTTATTATCGTGGCAATGGTACTTGACAGTCGTGACAATTTAGGCCATTTCTTGTCAATACTTCAAATATTCATAACTCTGCTAAAAAAAGTAATTTGTCTGACATTTTTAATATATTTATCGCCCAAAGTAATGTAAAAAGTTACCACCAAGGAAAGATATATAATGAATATGCATATTCCACACATTATGTCCAAAATTTAAAGTATTTCGTAAAATTTTTAAAAAAATATATTGATAAGAGAAATGGACAAAAAAGCGCTCTTGTCGGTTCTGTCTATGAAATTCTTTAAATTTTGGATATCATGATATTATATAAAATATGTATATCTATAATATATATTTTCTAGATTTTTGGCACATTATCAAATGAGTTAAATAATTCTTATTAATATCATTTAGGCGAACTGTCTGCTAAGTTGGACACATCTACCATCCACCGATTTCATGATTGTAGATTAAGAACTGTTCCCATGAAAACTCGATTGTCTAACCAGATTCTATCATTTGAAGTCTGATTAGTTATAGTCTATGAACTCATGGAAAAGACCAGAAATCAAGACATTGACCTCCAATTATTGTCTTTGACCCGATGGAACCGACACAGAATAGTAATCCACCATTACTACAATAGATTCAACATTCAAGAATAGTGACGTAAACGATGGCGCCAAGAAACCAACTAACTATAGCTTAGTTGACTCGTGTATATTTCGGCGCCCACCTCTTCCACCATGACATGGACTTTGACCACATTCGGAGAACGGTAATCCCCCAATATCACGCTAAAATGGATAATAATGGAAATGTGACGTAAACGATGAATTAGTACACTGTGTAAGAGGGATATTAATTCAGACTCGTGTTTCATTGACAGTTTTACCGATCATATAATATTTGAGGATTACCTATCAGCAGATTGCTATCACTATTTGGAGAGAGAGAGAGAGGGGGAGAGAGAGAGGGAGAGATTATCATGTGAAAGCGGGAAATCGAAACCACACTACTTGACTCAATGACAGACCTTATTATCTAACGCGAGTTAAAGCATTCGGCTATCGAACCCCTTATCACCGTTGGTTCGGAAGAGATCTATAGCATTGGTTCGTTCGTTCGTTTGTGGGGTTTGACGTCCACTTCTACCTTGGGTGATATCACAGACAAGTACGTACCGTCGTATTGTAAGTACGTGGTATTTAAGTGCTTGGTATTGTAAGTGGTATTGTAAGTGCGTGGTATTGTAAGTACCCGTTAATTTATAGTTTTGTTTTACTCTCTCCCTTGCAAAAATCAGGTAGGTTTAGTAAACCTATTTTTCTATACATGTATGTCAAAACCACCCGTCCGTTTTATTGTGTAGCTGGAATAACGTCGTGATAATTTCAAGTCGGCAATCTCGATAGGACGAATTAACAAAAACTTACAGTTCTTCAATTTTCGGCTAGATTGGAATATTCCCAAATTGGGTTCGGCGATGAAGCTGTTTAATAAATTTTGAATTTTGAAGTTGAAAAGTCCGGGTATCAAGATAAATGAAGGAATAATAGAACCTGGCTTATATCCTGACACATTTATCAAATTTATTCATTCGCAATTAGCAATGATATGGCGAATTTGTTAAATGGGGTAAATACTGTGAGGGAAAGCGGTGTACCCCAAGTTTAACTTCCGTCCAACAATTGGTGGGCTATTCCTAATGCCATTTTACACATGCGGGTGACTGCCTTCATAAATAAGAGTCCACTTTTGGAATTAAGTTTTAAAGATGCCTGAAATTTGAATTCCAGTTGAATTCATAGTTGCAGCTAACAGACGTATGGAGCTTGTTTATTTCCAATTTCAAACTTCGAATGAGCCTTCTGGGCCATCGTAAGATATCAATTGTTTTTCGACGAATCAAAATAATCGATGCATCTGTTTATATTACTCTTACGGGCGCTGATTAAGATTTTCTGAAATTAACAGCAGTAGCTGTATTCAGATAGCTGTATTTTTGTGTTTAGTTTAATCTTGTTTTGAAATTTTAAATGTTGACCGCTTTTCACATATTCAATTCCAATTTGTACAAATATATACTCGCCAAAATCTGGGGCATCACCTTTTCTAGTAAAGCTAATTACTGTAAAGTAATTGCCAGTTTATAATCAACGCGAAATGATCATATCTTCCAGCGAGAGTGTTTTATGCATATTCTAATAAGCTTCATTACGCATGACTGTCATGAATGGAAGATGCGTGTCAATATAATCAAGTAGAACTCGAATGCACACGCTGTATAACTTTAGCTTTGATCACGGAAAGGAATTGACAACGGGTTCATATCTAGTAAATTATATATGAATATGGCATTTACAGACAGAATAATGACAATGCTGGTGTTGATGTTAATAATAATGTACATTTAATGTCTCCAATTAAAAGAAAACAATAATTGGATATGTAAGTTCCAAATGTAGCTTTGACGTCGTTTTGCACGGTGAATATTCGCTAAGCCGCTACAATCACTGCGAGGGATGACATCGTAGCAGGTTAATTAACTCACATTATTCTAGGCTTTCGCAAAATACCTCTGTGAAACAGACTGGTCGTTTTGTACAAGGAGCAATTGTCTAAAAAGATCGGGTTTCTAAATTTCAAGTTTAGTAATTGTAGTATATTTTCTCAAAGATTTCTTATTGAGAAAATAAAAAAAATATTCTTTTAGTAAATGTCTGAAACGTAATCTTGTGCAGTATTACTCTATTTGAGGAAGGAGATAGAACTGAAATAGACTGCTGTTAACATTTCCGGTAAATGCATGACATTTCCAGTAAAGTCAATGTTCTAAGTGGACAATTTTATTCAAAAATACGAAATATACAAATCCTCTGTGATCTGAAACCCCTGTTCACCGTAAGTACGGTTATCTACTGGGACATGCGCTACAAATGTGCAGACTCGATTTCTTCCAAACCGAGGTAGAGCTGGAGAAGTCGTATCCAATCGTGCAAATTCGTTTTGCCGCCGTGATGCACTTTCTGATCCACACGACTGTTACGAATATGCCACGTTTGCCACGACTGTGGAACGATTTGGTGTAAGATTGTCATACAATGTATCATGGTGAGTCACAACTACTATACATACGGATGTATTTCTCCAGATTCTATCATACTTTATCACCATATGTAGAAGTGGGCATTAACCTCTACTACTCCAGACCAAATCAATTGTAGACTTCATGTCAATCTGGATACTTCAACAACTACTATTTTGTTTCTTCGGTGTTTAATGTACGGCAGGTTACTGTTAATGACTACTGAGCAAAATCTTGACATCTCTACATACCGGCGTCTGTTGAAATCGTATGGAGTCCGAATCAATTCTTGTTAAATCTTAAGTCCATCGTGATTAATCTTCATTATTCTTAGGACAGTGAAACGTGATTAATTGCTTGATTGTGTTCGTCGATATTCTTGGCTTTCATTAGAGTAATCGTCTCTTGTCGTAGAAAATCGCCTATCACCGTAGCGTACCCTTAACACTATTAGTACCGCTGTGTACCCATAACACTAACAGTACCGTAGAGCATTATCAGTGCCGTAGTGTA